AGGGGAAGGGAGATCAGAGAGCATCAGCGTGGGTGGGGAAGCATGGGGCAAAACAGGTAGTCACAGAATGCTGTGTGAGGCATTCCCGCCTCCTGAACGCTGCTGGGGCCACACACCTGGCTCTGGATTCCAGGGGGTGGGGTCCAGTTGGGGAAGGAGATCCCTGCAGGGGTCAGAACAGTGACTTTTTAGCTATGAGAATCAGGGTTTGGGGCTAGGGTCTGGGATCAAATCGAAAGAGGTACCTTCACAGATGGTGGTGATCTGGTTGTACTGGAATCCAGGTTTGGGCTTCCAGCCCAGGCGGCAGCGGCACTTGTAAGAGCCCAGAGTGTTGAAGCAGACAGAGGAGTTGTGACACTGGTGTTGCCCGGAGGTGCATTCGTCCACATCTGGGGACAAGAAGGGCGTCAGGCCCCTCTCCTGTGTGTGCCAGACTCCCTTCTCCCAGCTAAGCGTCCCCACCCCCAGGGGCCCCTCCAGGGCCTCTACATGTGCACTGTTTCGGGTGCTTCGGGTTGAACTCAAAGCCGGGCTGGCATTTACAGGTATAGCTGCCCTGGGTGTTGATGCAGATGCTGTTGCCTTTACATATTTGAGGGTTCTGCTTGCATTGTTGCACAACTGTGAAGGGGAGGAAAAGGTGATAGGGACCTATGGCTGTGGGCAGCTTCCAAGGCTGGGAGTCAGTCATGTTTTCTTCCATAGAAACATCCAGAAGGCTCCCTGAATACTCCTCAGTGGGTGGGTGTGTTTTCTTACTCACGTGGAGCCATTCTAGAGGTGAGGTGGTGACCTAGATGCTTTGTTATCTGGTGTGTCTGGAAGTGGCTTGAGCCCTCCGTGTCTGCCTCCCCTCAGTTCCCAGCTGGCGCAGGGATATTGAGACACCTATGTCCCAGCCTGGGGTTTTGGACAAAGACCCACTGACACCACTAGGTAAGTGAGTGGAAGGGAAATGCTGCTTTCCAGTGAGGGCCATCTTGAGGGTCAGTGATGGCCTTGTCTTACTTTCCCGGGATGCTGCTCACTGACTGAGTTCTCCTTGGAATTCAGGTGAATCTGCAGGTCAGTGCTCCTCCATGTGCTCTATTGAGACTCCAGTTCTGTGGAGATGGGCATGGACCCATCAGTGAGTCAGGACCTTCAATGAGCTTGCAGAAAGAGTTAGGGAGACAGGAGAAGATGCCAGCGAGGCCAGAACCACCCAGTCAGTGGGTACCAGGCTGGGATGGTCGGGGGCTGGCACCAGCCAGGCAGCCTTGGGTAACAAAGATGCTTTTCTTGATCTTCATAAAAAATCTCCTTGCATTGGCAGGAAATGGTGAGAATGCACTTTCCAGCAAGGCCAGTAGAGGCTGCGGACTGAGGGCTAGAGGGGAGATGATGGACAGCAGGTGGCAGGCATTCAGTCTTCTCAGCCCTTGGTCTCCCAGCAGGGAAGCAGACCTATGGGTCGTGCTGATTGGGGTTCATTCTCTATCTCTCCTCCGAAGTGGTCTGGGTTAATGTGAAGCCTGGCTCGCCTGCTTCAGGGAGG